TCGCGAAAAAATAAACAAATTACGGTAAGTGTGATTACAACGATCTTTTCCTATAAGATCTGATTATAATTTATATGGAGTAAAATTTCATTTTATCGACTCTCTAGGATTACACGATAATGAAAATTGTCCGTAAAAGCAAGCGATCGATGCATGGATCGATGAATTATCGAATTAATTTAAAATATTGCACACATAATTGACAAACTCCACGGCAGAGCCACTAACTCTCTACATTATAGTTTCAACGAATAAGCCGCCCTGACTGAACAAACTTTATATCGGACATTATATTGAATTCTATTTAATGCAATTCTATCCTCTTCTGCATTATTGTATAATTGATCTACCCTCAATATTTTTGTATATTATCGTAACTTTGCAAAGCGTTATTATCTCTGAATAATCATCGTTTCTAAAATCCATTGTAAAGTATTCTATGCTCTGGATGAAATTTGTGTCTTTCAGGTAATTTCTGAAAGTGCACGAATATAAATTAAATATTACAGCTGTGCGGCGACATGAGCCCATCGCATTTGCGTGGCTTACTCTCGCCCGCGTTAAGTAATAAGAGACATTACTTTCGTAGCTGAAACAACCATAATCCAGCCAGGAGACGCCGTAAGCCCCTTGCATCTCGAAGGATCTGCGTTTCTGCATTGTGATCTATTTTTATGAAGTATGCAATTGTTAAATTAATCTTAAATTAATATCACGCGGAAGAGTGGAATTAGAGAGCTAATTGAAATTACGATATTGTAAGCCGTCAAAATTAATTCGTGAAATGACGCTTTTTTTTGCGATGCGATATCAATGTACAATCGTCAAATACTTATCTGCATATGATTAAAAATTTCATTCTACATAACTAAAAATTATTGAAGATTGCACAAGTGAGATGCGCGCATACTTACTAATATTTGATTAAAAAAATATCACTTATGACTTTGGCATTACGTATTATACAATTGGCATAATTACTAATGTTAATTAAAATGTGATCGATAAGAGCACTTTAACGTATGCATAAGCTATCGTTAAGTAGTGAAGATTCATACTAATGATAGCGACGTGAAGTAATTTAAAAGTTTCCTTTTCAGTTTTACACACAATTAATTGACAAATTTTACTTATAAAAATGCCCACGTCTTTTGTAAAATTATTGTTGACATAAGTGAAAGAATACTGACCGAGAACGTTGTTAGCGTAAGTGGCACAAATTTCATAACTTTCAAATATGATTCCGACATCAAGCTGTAGATCCATACAAAGGGCATAATACCAAGTTAAGGCTGATTTATCGACGTCTTGAATGGAGATGTCACGTAACCGCTGCAACATGTTCACTACCTCGCAAATTCTTTTCAAACGCATCTTTTAACGCATCGAATTAATACCATCCCATTGGGTTGTGAATTTTCAATTGTAGATATTATCGGGACAAAAAAATTTTTACTCATTGTTAGTTTCTTTTTTTGTCTTTCTTTCTTTTATTTTCAATTAACATGATTTATTACGGAGTATCTAATTCACCTTTGTTTGAATAAGCAATGGCAATATTTCTAGCTCCAATCTAATCATGTGAAAGAACTTGTAGAATTGGTGCGCCTTTATACCAAATTTTATAGCTCTTTCCAAATATCCTCGTAATAAGCTGTTTTTTTTTTTGTTTTTTTTTTTTTTTTAATTTTTTTACAAATCAATGAAAATTGAATTCAATTATACTTTTTGCATACTTTTAAATTATAATTAATAATAAAAAAAATTGACATTTATTCGACATTAATTTAACTAGCTATATATTTTCCTAAAAAAAATATAAATTGCGTGTTGAAAAATTATTGCACGCGGGCGTTTATTTTGCGTACGTAAAATGTAAACAATATAATATATACCTAAAGAACTTAGAAATTTACAGTAATCCAGTATTGTTCTGTCGATAATTAGTTTTTTAATAAAAAAATGCCGTGGTTTTATAAAAAAAAAAAATAAGCCACAATTATCATTCAATTATTTGATTAATTTTACAATATTTAATCAACAATTATATACTCTAAGAGCTACAGACTTTTATTTATATATTTGAAATAAATTACTACTACTAATACTACTACTACGTTGTGACAATTGGATGATTTATTTCACAAAAAAAAAAAAACGTTAAATAATATATGAATGTTTGTATATATTCTTATAATAATTAATTTTAAGAGAGGATTATTTATATTTCATTCGTCTATAATTTTATAGGGACCGTGTCATAAATAATTATAAATTAAAACAATGGCTTATATGAAAAAGGATTAGTGCGGCCCGATGTAGCTACCCCCCCCCCATCCCCCCGCCCCACCAATACAGCTAACTATTGCAATTAAGCAATGTAAGTATTATCTAGGAAATTTCAATATAAATGCTTGTATTGATAAAACAATGATATTTATAAACGTATTATAAATAAGTGTAGCCTAATAAAAATAATAATATAGTCAGTTTCTCCCATACAGGTGTCCTTATGTTCGTAAAATTTGTTTAGCACTATGCCATACTTTCGTTTAATAACTACATTATTGATAAATGAAAAGAAACGTTAAACTTATTAAAACTACGTTATCTAAGACTTGTATGAAGAAATTTCAAAATATATTTATAACATATACGCGTTAAGACATTTTTTATTACAGGCTACGATATTCAAGCTAAAAACTTATTAAAGTCTAGTTTAATTGAATTTGTCCGAAATATTTAAAGTATTTGCTCAATCTTTAGTATACCTCACTTTAAATATAGAAAAATATATATGCGCCAGCATGACAATGTCTTCGCTACTGCTCCAAGTGGACTTCTTATTAACTGCATACAAAATATATTTTTCAACACGACTTAAAAACGATAAATCTCCTAGTTGGCCATAAATGTTTACAATTGATAAATACAATTGGCACTGATCATGAAAGCTATTCATATCGTAAGTAGAAAAACCAAATACAATACTCTGAAGCGAAGTTAATTTCGCTGCTTTAAGCTGATTATTTATCTATACAAAAGGAAAAATATATAATTCAAGTTACACAAACACAAACACAAACACACAAACACACACACACACACACACACACACACACATATATATACACTGTATAAAACAGCAGACAATAATTTTGTTTACTTGACAATCAAAAGATTAATTATCTAAAGAGAGATTAGATATTAAAAATCACGGCCAATGTCAAATTCAATGGCAAAATTATTGCTTAATTATATTTCCAAAAATGTCTGATTGACGATTTACCATGAGTATTAAAGAAAAGAGACGTAAACAGGATGCAGTATTTTGTCTTGTGATCATAGAGCCAGTTGTTTTACGGCTAGTTTTACAAGAAAATCTCCAGCGTATATTTTGGCATATCGTTTTGCAGGACATCAGCAAGCCAATAGAACTGAACTTTAATTTAAATAAAGATAACGCTTCGATGTAATTCGCTTTAGCTTCTGGATAATTACCAAGAAGTACGTGAATATTTCCTAAATAAATAATATTACATATATTTTAATTTTCATTATTTTCATTAATTTAATTATTGTAAGTTACATGTATTTACGTAGAATTTCTAGTAAACTGATGTGATAAACAAGAACAACAACAACAAAAAACACGTTATATAATTAATTTATCAATAGTTTATCCTAATCAAAATACGATTGATCTCATTCCATAATACTCGCTAATATATATTGCGGATTTTTCACAATTTTTATTATAAAATTTTTTCGGTTATATATTGTAAATTAGTTTTGGTAATTGCGATGGACGAAAGCATGAAACAATTATGTAAGTAAATTAAATATTTACTACTAACAACCTGTAATACTTTACTACACTAAATCATACTTTGTTCCAGAAATATGCATACTTTTAATAAAAAATATTATTTTTTTTTTTAAATATTCAAATAATTTAAAACTTTTAAAGAGGCATTACAAAACAATGGATTTTACTCGATGGAAACATGATAGATTAATGCATTAGCAAATCGTTGCGTATTGGTATAATTTTACGCGAGTACGTCGTCATACTCGATCAATATTTACAATAAGAATTACATGATTCGATTGACTAAATGCTTTACTTAAAGCTAAATAATAACTAAGACTAACTAATTTGTCATCGACATACTGTGGGAGAGGGAGAGGGAGACGATAAATGATCATTAGACAAATGTAAAAATAATAATAATAATAATAATAATAATAATAATAATAATAAT